GCACACACACACACAGACACACACAGATAGGGGCCTCCAGTATTTCCATTCTGACCATCTCACTTCTTCCCTATCACCGCTCGCTCTTGTCATCTCACAGACTTTTTCCACCACTTCAGAGCGCAAGATTCGTTCTCCTTTCTGAGTCTTCATCTGGACGATGGCCAAATTTCTCCGCAGCCTTGAATCTGTGCTTATATGTACATGCCTTCACTAAATATACTTACAAAGACATGCATGCGTTTGTGAAGAATTTACTTCCTGCATATATTATGCTGAGCTTAAAGAATGAATTATGATTGTTTGATTAGTTACCTGACAGAGTTATTAATGCAAGTTATTCCTTTAAGCAAACATGCTGAAAACCACTGAAACCAGCTTTTAAAATTTGTTTCCCGTGTTGTTGCAAATGGAATATGTTTTGGATCTGGGCTGCTGGTTGGACCAAACAACACATCAGAAGATAACATCTTTCGTTACTGGAAGTTGACATTTTATACACAATTTGACAGATTTTTTGGACATAATTCAAGCTTTATGCTTTTGTAAAATAAAATAATTATTAAATCATCCAAGTAGTATTTAAAATCTGCCATACTTGCCATGTTTTACATTTTCTTTTGTTTACTGGTATCTTTGTCTGCTTATTTTAATCTAAATCATCAGTTAACTTCTGTCAAAAAAAACAATCCAACTTATGTCTAAGCATTTTAAAATATCTATGCAGTGGGTAAGAGGTTGAAAAACCACACTTTCTTTTACTGTTCAAATTACTGAGTTGAGAGTTGAGGCAGGTTGTCTGTCAGCAGTTTCAGTTTTTCTCAACCAATACCTGAAGCTTTTCACTCTTCCACTTGAGGGAGCTACTGCCCTTGTACTGTGGTGCTGGATCAATCTCTCACTCTGTGGTCACATGTAATACATTAGTTTGACAGTCACTCTGCCTAATCACCTTTAAACTGGACAACTAGATATTTTTCTTGTTGGTCTCACTGTTTGTGCATCTACTGTATCTCCCTTTAAAGCTGACTGCATCTAACACAAACACTAACACACACTCTGGTTTCTCTCTCTGTCAGGAATGAGAGGAATCTGCAGCAGAAGCAGCAGCTGGCAGGTGGGCCAATGTCCCACGATGCACTGCACAGGGGCACACCGCATGCACACCGTGTGCCACTCACGCCACATTTAAGCTTTCATTGTTTCGGGGGCTCAACAATCACTTTCAAATTCACTGTCACACAGCCATTCTGTACAGCAGACAGACTGGCACGCAGCTATGACACTGGACAATGACAGCGACACACTTGTCAGAGAGAGAGAGGGAGAGAGTGAGGGGAAAGAGTGAGGCGAGAGACTGACAGACACTTCTGCTATTAACATGCAATCCACATGTATGCAGTTTGTAACACAAACGCAGGAATGTGTCTGAGCTTTGCCAACTTATTCTGTGTTAACCTTGGCTCATGTTAAAAAGTGATGGTGCAATGGCATCCTTTCACTCTTTAAGGTCACTAACTAATACTGCACATAACACACAGACACATTTTGTACATAATACGAGTTGAGACAAAATAGATGAGCCGCTAACAGCTGCACTCAGACACTGAAATCATGCTGGGATGTGAAGGTGCTAATGACGTGTCTGTAAAAGACAATTTGAACAGATGGAAATAGCTGCATATTGGTTTGGTGAAGAAGAGAATGCAGACATAGCATACAGAGATGGCATATTCAGGTGTTTGCAATTCAAGTAAAAATCCAGACCTACCGGATTTAAATGTGTTTTCATAAGGGACACTTGGGCCTTGGTAGAAGTATGCTCTCTACTGAGTGACATTCTAGTGACACTTTCTAAGCATATCTAAAGTATAGCTTCCTCTTTAATCTTCTAATCTGTGTCAAAATTATGAGGTAGCTGGCTGAAGATTAATAGAGGTAAAAATTAATTGCACGTTTCATGTACTCACGTTTTTAGCGTGCCAGACGTCATGAGCTCGGTGACCAGAACAATACATTTCTTTCCTTTGCATGGCCCCTCCCACGAGTCATAGAAGCGGACAATGTTAGGATGCTGGAGACCCTTCAGCATCCCAGCCTCCTCTTTGAAGCGCTGCCGCTCCGACTTTGACAGCTTGCGATCCTGCACACAGGACAGAGGAGGAAAATTAGTCATCCATCCACAACAATAAAGGAAACATTGTTTGTCTGAAATCTGGAGGAGAGAAGCTTTCACCCAAACAAAACATGTTGTTTTTAAAGAACAACAACGTTATAGTGAGTGTGATACTATCAAGTGAACCAGGAAGAGGAAAGCTAATTAAGACAAGAGAAAAACTAAATAATGATTCCCTCAAAAAACATTGATTTCATGGTTTGACAACAGGATGCAAAGTATATATTTTACCGATGCAGCATCTAAACGTGGTATTGAGATACAACTGTACATTAAGTATGAAGCCATGTACTATCAGAAACATATTACAATAAACATCTCAACCCAAAAATATTTTACTTATTTAGTCTGAGGCTGTATTTTGATCCATCCCCTGAAGGGGGATTTATCAAACTTTATCCATGTCTTTTTAGTCATGGTTAAAGGCCCTGTGTGAGAGCTTGACCAAAACAAGCTAAGAAAAGAAAGGTACAATCTACATACTTCCATTCTGTGGAAGACAAGCCTTTTAGAAAAGTCACACTCACACACTCACAGTTTAATGGGCATTCCTGCTCAACCACTGATACGTCAATAAATACAGATGCAAAGGGCACTGTGGGTGAGCTGGTTCTTGTAAAGAAGTGTTAGTGTGTGCATTCATACATGAAAATGTGTGTAAAAGTTGTGAGGCATTCCTGTCTAGTCTGTGTTGTCTGTTTGTTTAAATTTCAGCTTTTTTAAGTGTAAGAAAGAAAGTCTAAATAAATCATTTTCAGGGTTCCAACAGTGACATCAGGCCAAAACCAGATGATAAACTGAATTTTATATCTAGAATGTCAGACATGGCTCAGTAGATGCTTACGAATGGAACACAAGAGAGCCCACAAATGAGTGACTGGGTGACTCCAGTCCACCTGGTGGCAGTAATGTGCATGTAAGCTGGTTTGTCAACCATCAAAAAAAAAAAACCTAAGAAGAAGGTTTGCATAAACCCAAAGTGGTTTAAGCCCCAACACTGGAGCAGCAAAATTGGAAATCAGCCCAAATCTACTCACCTCTGTTGAAATTTAAAGAATCAATTCTTCAGTCATTTCTAATTGGCATGAGTGTGTGTGTGTGTGTTTGTGCCTCATTTGCTTCTGCCTAAGTGTGGTTGCACATATATAATCAGTGCATAATAATACAAATTCACAGCTGCCTGACAACAGTAAAATAAGGTGACAAAACCTCAACACTCTGAGAGTTTCAGCTCAAGTATGGTTTTGCTCATTCCAAATATAAAGTTCAGAGATAACCTGCAGCTACAAGTAGGCTACACTACAGCATTAAAACAAATATCAAACGGATTTTCCAATTAACCCAGACAAGCAGAAATGTGAGCTTTGACAGGAAATCATGACACACATCCAGAGCATTTCATAATGTCTGTGACCCTTTTAGAGGATAAAACTGAACAGACAGACAGATCTGCAGACAAACAGATGGAGCAGCATCATTGAGGTGTACACTGAGGGGCACTGAGTCTAATTCAACTGTATTATTGTTTCATTCAATGAAGCTATTGAATTTGAATCAAGCTTAAAAAAGGAAATACATCCAGTGCATTGGTGCAAACCATCTGAGACAAAGTGCATGCTCATCAACCATCAATCATTCAAATGGTTTAATGCTACTCTCCTTAACTCAGAGCCCAAAAAAAGGAACCACCCACCGTACCAACCAATCAACAACTCAGCACAGGAGATTGTGGCCGGTCACGGTGAGTGAGTTTTGTGAAATGATATAAAGCTATTAGAAAACCTTGTGAGCTGCTTCAAAGATTAGGACAATCTCTGAGGTGATGATCTCATACTGTCAAATTATATAACCTCTTATACAATATTGTCATATTGGGTAACCTTATCTATATCATATGATTTACACACACACACACACACA